GGACTGAGTCTACCAAGTCGATCACAGTCCTCGGGGGAGGACTTGTCCTGGAGGAGATGGGAATGGAGGGTGGGCTGGGGGTAAGGGGAGGGCGTGGGAGGGGGGAGAATAGGGGAACCCATGGCTGATATGTAGAACTGAATGGTATTGTAAAATAAAAAATATATATCACAAAAATAATAATAATAAAAAAAAACATGTTAATTGTGGGAAGAAACTGGAATGGTTAATTAGCCACAAACTTCATTTAATCTGAATCTTGTACTTAGTTAATATCAAATGGCTAAGACTTATGTAACTCATCTTTTCCTTCTGTTGTATTTGTACTCTCCCTCCACCTTCCCCTCCCCCCCCTTTTTTTTGGTTTTTCGAGACAGGGTTTCTCTGTGTAGCTTTGCACCTTTCCTGGAACTCACTCTGTAGCCCAGGCTGGCCTCAAACTCAGAGATCCATCTGCCTCTGCCTCCTGAGTGCTGGGATTAAAGGCATGCACCACCACCACTTGGCTAAAAAATATATAATGATCTGTAGAGATGGCTCAACACTTTTTTTTTGGAGCTGAGGACCAAACCCAGGGTCTTGAGCACTACCACTGAGCTAAATGCCCACCCCACCCCCCCCTTTTTGAGACAAGATTTCAATGTAGCCTTGGCTGTCCGGGAACTGGCTTTGTAGACTAGGCTAGCCTCAAACTCAGAGAGATCCACCTGCCTCTGCCTCCCGAGTGCTGGGATTAAAGGTGTTCACCACCATTGCTGCCCAGCTATTTGTATACTTTCTAAAAAATTAGATGATATTTAGACACTGCCCAAGACCTTTTAATTCTTTATCTGACAGGCAAACCTATTCACTCATTAAATGCTTATGTGACTTATGTGACAAGAATTTAAACTCATCAGTAGCACTAGGATTTAAAAATTATTTGTTTTTTAAAGTTTTATTTATTTTATGTGTACGATGAGTGTTTGCCTTTGTGTGTGTGCCTGGTACTCAAGGTTAGAATAGGATAGATATCTGGTGCAGATAGATGGTTGGGAGCTGCCACGTGGGTGCTGGGAATTGAAATCAGGCCCTCTGCAGTCCTTCTATGAAGATTTTAATATAATAAAACTATAGGCTAAGGAGAAGGCTCAGTGGCCAATTAACTCCCCAAACGAATGTAAAAGACAGACACAGGACACAGCAACACATCTAGTTAGCACCTGTAAGCCAAGTGCCAAAGGGAAATAGGAAGAGTACACGTCTCAAACAAAACAAGGTAGAGGGCAAAAGGACTAACATTGGACTACCATGTGTGCTTGCCTACACTCATACAACACACGTGCACACACAAAAAGACACACAAGTGGGTTAGGGCTACACAGAGAAACCTTATCTCAAAACAAAACAAAAACAAAACAAAAAAACCAACCCCCCCCAAATACAAACACCACCAAAAAAAAAAAAAAAA